GATGGCGATGAAACCTCCATCTTGACTTTTGTTCATCGTCAACTCTGCTACTGCTCTCTCACTTTCTTGTCTTCACTCATTCAAACCACTCCACCATCGCACGCATCTGCCCTTAAGTTTGGCACTGATTGAACGGATCTCTGTAGCTTCTTAGGCCTGAAGATCGGAATTGGAACGCTAGAGCTTAGATCTCATAAACGCAATTGCTGCCAATCTAACTTTCCTGGATTGCTCTGGTGGAGATGGCAATTAGACAGACAGCTGGAAAGATCGACGTCGGCCAAGAAAGTGGGATGCTTTCGAGAGGGAGAGAGAACCAAGAGTGGAGATGCCGAGTGAAATCAGAATTATAGATGAAGAACATGATCGTAGATGGAGTTTTTTGAAAAATAAGTAGGATGCTTTTTTTCTCTTGCAGTACAAAATAACAGTAGAAAGAAAAAAAATACATGTATTTAAAATTTATTTTTTTATTCAAATCAAATAATATATTTAAAAATTTATATATATTTTACATACATATATTTTAAATATATGTATTTAAAATGCACATTTTAAATACAAATACATATTCTCCAATATATGTATTTTGGATTAGGTCTTGTAGGGCTATTAACGAGTTGAATATTTAAGCCCTATTATTCAAACTCGTTTTAAAAATTTTAGAGTATTTATCGCACTTTAAATAATTAAGTTTATACTTAAAATCATGTGTATTCAATTAAATTTAACTCTACTCATGAGTTTTAGCATAAGTTAAGTTCTCGAATAAATAAATATTTAAATTTAAATTTAAATATTTTTCCTATAATTTGAATTCTTCGACTATAAATTTTATTATTATTTTTAAATAGTGTAATATTAAAAGTTTATATATTCTACTTGAGGGTCAATCGAATTAGGTTACATGATGGGTTGAGCTTACTAAAATGAAATTAATTTAAGAAAATTTCAGACATTAGCATTTTTGTTAGTAAAATTTAAATGATACTAAAACAAAAAATAATATAATTATAATATTATATGATATTATAAATTTATAACATATTGTAGTATTGTATAATTGACTCTTTTCCTTTAGAATTCACTCATAATATTATAGTGATACACTCATTTAACAATACATCATATTCATTTAAAATATTTTTTTTATTTTGATTGTACAATGTGAGGTAATTATTTTTTATTCTTTATTCTACCTTACTCGCATATCATGCTACTCGAACTCAGAATCTCTCACTTTCAACGAAAGGAGATGATCACTGAGTTACTTAGATTGTTAGTCATAATCATTTAATTTTATATAAAGATTATAAATTTACAATATTATATGATATAATATAAATAAAAAACTTTGCCGTAGGATTAAAAAAAAAATAAAAGGGAAAGAAAGAAACTTCTTCATTAACTAGCATTATGAATAGCTAAAAAAGTGGCAGAGATGATGTATTGAATCATAGCACCGGTTTAATCTGTCCATTACAATGCATCAATAAAAAATGGAGATTTATTAGTATACACTTTAATTTAATATATTACATAATATATTTATTAAATTACTATTTTTTGGTGTAAAATATAAAGTAAATAATTTTAAATATGTACTTATATATATATGATACATGAATTGATTGAATCAATTATATTTATATTAAATTTTAATCATTGAACCAAAATAAATATAAGAAAATATATTAAATTGAGTGTATATAAATCATTTTTTATATAAAATAGAGGACATAAATTAGGGATAACATAGAGAGAGTTAGGGAATCAAGGGAATCAATTTCTTTAGATGGTGATCACCTTAATTATGAGATTAATGAACCTTCTATTTAATTTAAAATCAGTATAGCAAGATTGTATTAAGGGTTTAGTTAAAACCTATCAAAAAGTCGTATTTGGGTTTTATATTATCACAAAATAATAAAGAATAGAGATAATAAAGAATCGAGTAATGATTCTTGTAATTAAATTTTAGGATGATGAAATTATTTTAACGGATACGCGAGGCTCATATTATAATTAATAATTATTATAAATTTATCTTATAATTTACTCTTAAAATTTAAGTTTAATTATCAGTATTTTAAAATTTAGTTCTAAAACTTGGTTTTAATAATACCTTTCTTTCAATTTTCTCTTAACTTTTCGATGCTATCAAGCCATATATATATGCTTCCAATTTCTTTTTCTACTTAAGCAACTATTTTTTTTTTCATTTTTATTTTTATTTTTTTGGTTTCCCTGGTTGCTTTTGCCTATAGAGAGCTTCTTGAATTCCACATTTTGAAAAGTTATTAGTAGAACCAAACACGCTCTAAATTTATTTAGATGACATCTCTTTACTTTCACGTTTTTAAAAATTTATTTGAACTTAAATTTACAAATGAAATAAATTTTTTACTTTAAAAAATCCAGTAAGAGCAACAATCAATTAAATTCGCAAAGTAAAAATTCTATTATGAAGAAGAAAATATTAATACAAGCGGAGAACTAACCTTTAGACTGAATCCAATTAAACTTTTTCTGAAAAATAAAGAAATACATTAAGGCTTCATTAACCTCAGCCTGTTAACGAGCATCAAATTGGCTTTGCACATTAATGTCGTCCCTTGATTCTCTTGATCTTTTTCTTCCCCTTGCTCTGTTGCCTTTCTTCCACAAAGCTCTATAAGCACTTATGGAAACAAGGGTTCCTAAACAAATCACTGTTGTATACAAACCAGGATAAAAATTCGGAAGATAATTCAATCGTCGCTTTTGTATATTATAGCAATGGAAGCTGCGATAAATCTCTAATAACATAAGATTATTGCGATTATAGGCTAGTACTGGAATAAGAGAACTCACAGTCTTGTCATGCAACATAATCCGACAAAATTTAGTCCAAGAATCATGAATCTTGTAATCCTTCAGGACCCATATATCAAAGAATGGGTTCTCAAAGCAATCTCTACTTGACACACAAAGATACCCTCCAAGGACTACAACCCGAGTAAACTCAATGAACCTTTCTCTCTTTACTCTTATTTGAATTTCTTGTTGTTCCCGGACATGGTCAGGCAATTGCATCTCGCGAAATTGTTCGGAAGCAAGATCGAATGCAAGGATGAAACTTGAAGATAACGTGTTATTATGAGGATAAGAGCCTGCCAGCCAATGGAGAGCACTAGAAGCAACCACTCCATTGGGAGCATCCAATGAAGAATTGAAGGAGCAAATTAGAGGAAATAGTTTTCTCTGATTAACTTCAGTACGTCTGCTTTTGCTCCATGCATTATGTCTCAAGCTATAAATTCTTGTTTCCGCATAAACATCATCTCCATACTTACACCGGACAAAGATCACCACCTTGTAATCATCATTAAGTGAATCAAACCCGAACCCATAAAAGAACCGAGATTTAGTCCTGTTGCTTTTATACACAGGCAATGATGGGATTGAGGTGATGTGGTAATCTTTGGTTGCCATGTTTGACAGAATAAGATAGCGATCTAAAAGTGTTAAGCAAATTAAGCCATTGTACGTCTGAACCTCGTACCTTAATCAAGTTGTATGTCCAAGCGTATGAATCCTTGCGAAGAGGAGGAAGATCTACCTTTACAAAATCATGAGGCGAACGCGGCCATGCCAAACAGAGATCTGAATACTTAGCATGGCCAACGAGAACGGAATTGGAATTGGTTTTGGTTGATACTCGAAGATGAGATTTGATGAACAGAGGATCATGTATGAGGGAATACCATGATTTTGATACACTCTCAAATCGTAGGAGACTCTTGACTGGTAAAAGACACAGTATTTCTGCGATTAACTCATTAGATATATATTTTGCCATGAGTTTATCTAGGAGATGCCTCTGATGAATCAAAAATTTCTCCTGAATGGTAAGAGCACCGACACAAGACAGGAGAGGAATGAATAGAAGAAAATAAAATAAGAAACGGAGTTTTGAAAGTAAGGATGCC